AATTTTGGTCAATATTTTTTTTTATATTCTTTTAGGCTAGCTGTCTTCCTTCATATTTATTAAATCCAGAACCAGGATCTATAGTACTTGATATGTGTGCAGCTCCTGGAATGAAAACATCTCATTTAGCTGCCTTATTGACAAACACAGGGTAAGTCTATGTTGATTTTTATTTGTAAATTAATTTAATTTTAAATTTGATATAATTATGTTTATAGAAAAATCTATGCAGTGGAAAAAGATGAACACAGATATAAAACATTATGTGAACAAATTAAACTCACAAACGCTTCTTGTGTTGAAACTATTAATAAAGATTCATTAACTTTAGAGACAAATGAATACTCTAAAGTGGAATATATTTTAGTTGATCCATCGTGCTCAGGTTCAGGTACATAAAATATATATAATAGCATAATTATATAACAAATATAAAAAATGAAAATTTATCATAAAATTTTTAATTAAATTTTTTTAGGTATGTTGGATAGACAAATAGTCTATGGTAAAGAAAAAAGAGATCCACAACGTCTTAAACAATTACAAGCATTTCAAGTTTTTCTTTTGCGACATGCTTTATTAAATTTCCCAAATGTAAAGAGGGTTGTTTATAGCACTTGTTCTACTCATTCTGAAGAAAATGAAGAAGTAATAGATGAAATTCTTGAAAATGTACAAAATGCGTACGAACTTGTTCCAGTTAAAAAATTATTGAATGATGAATGGTTGAATTTTAGTTCGAAGAAATATAAATGTTCAGATAAATGTCTTTATGCCATTTCCGACGTAGATATGTGCAATGATTTTTTCGTTGCTGTATTTGAACGAAACTTTAATATATCTTTACCTAAATATAAATCTAAAGAGGACAATGCATCAAATAACAAAGTAGAAGAAGTTGAAATCTTCAATGATGAAAAAACTACAACACGAAAGCGGAAGAAACGTGGAAAAAGAAAAACGAATCAAGAAAATTCTAAGGACGAAAAAATAGATGACAGCATCAAGGAAGTAAATAATGATAATGATTCTTCTCAAAGTGATGGCGATGAATCTTCTCAAAATATTGACATTGATTCCTCTCAAAATAAATTTTCTCAAAGCAATAACAATGAACTTTTTGAAAATGATACTAGTGAATTTTTTCAAAATAACAAAGTAGAAGATAATAGTGATAAACTTTCTAATAATAATGATAGTGAACCTGTAATTAAAAAAAAGAAAATGAAAATTGGCCGGAAAATAAAATCTCATCAAATACGGCGATTATCTATTCATAAAAAACTAAAATTGTTAAAAAAAAAAAGGAAAACTCTTTAAAAATATAACTAATATTTCATTATTATTCTTACGTAAAATATTTAGAAATATTTTATATTTCAATTGCAAAAATAATGATAACATATATTGATGAATTAAAAAAAGAAATATATATATATATAATAATAATATGATGTTCTCTTTTATTTCGCTTATTTATCCGCGTAATACCTATTACTCAGTTATTTTTATCGTTATTTCGGATAAGATCAACGTCTTTTTATTGTGGTAATGTCGTGCAACTTTTGACCAAGGCACGAAATCCCAAACACGCATCACGTAAAAGAGGGTTGTGTCCTTCAGACTAAACACGTTATAATAATTTTTATATATTTTTTGGGAAAATATTTAAAAAAAACAATAAATAGATAAAATAATTAATTTAAACAAAAATAATATAAAATTATATCTATTAGTTCGTATTATTTGTTTCTTTTTTTTTTCACTTCGTTTCAATTTCTTATCGAAAAATGAATAAAAAAGAGCAGTACGTTAAAAAATTACTTAATAAATTATTACGTTTTCGTGCTTGCACTTAATTTAATATTGTTTTTTTATGGCCCAAGAACACGAAAATAATCCGTTCCAAATATGAAATTCGTTCAAAATTTCAACCTCGAGAATACCGTTAAAATGTTCCTGATAATTCTTATGATGTACACGATGTTTCCTCGATGAGTAGTGAAAAATACGCCTTTGCCACGTACTACCTTATCTTGCTATTCTCGGAATCAAATGCATTCCATGTGTACCCTTCTATGCCTTGTCGCGTTGACTTACAAGGTCTTTGAATACCTTCCGATAAGAATCTTTTGATAAACTGACCTCTCATGAATCGTGGTTAATATTCAATGATAATGCGATAATACTAATTACATATACACGGTATAACTCTATATAACTCTATCATTAATTATATTTATGATATATATAATAATCTAGCACCTTCATAATTATTTTCGAAATGAAAAAGAAAAGAATATCACTTTATAATCAGTAGTATCTTGAATTGGCAATGATTTATTGTTTATGAAATTTAAGAATTCATGGCTTATATAGTAAAGAAAAGAAGAAGAGAACGAGTTAGATAACGTAACACGACGAGCGTATATACATCGTAGAACTGAAAAGTACAGCGCGATGACAGTAGGATAAATGGAGGTTATTCAACCATAACGCCATAAGCTATTATAGCGCAAATTTCAAAAGCAATATTACTAGTAATAATCATTTCAATATGTTACGTTAATAAATCGTTGTTTATAATATCTTAATATTTTAATATGAATATCAATAATAATAAAATAATAATAAAATACAATTTATCATAGAGATAATTGAAATATATATTATTGAATGCAAAGAATAGTGAATATTATTTCTTTTTTTATAAAAATAAAAAACTTTGAAGCAATTATTGTTCTTATTGTACTCTTATCCAACATATTTCTTATCTCTATTGTAAATATATTTTACAACAACTTTGAAGCTATAAACGTAAAAAAAGAAAAAAAGGAAGTGATTAGGAACTAGCTTTTTGGCCAATGACTCTTCCAGTTTTATTGTAAAGTCGATATCTTGGAGGCATAGATTTGATTATTACTTCCACTCGCCTCCCCGGAAAAGTCTTAGATATCGCGTGAAATCATCGAAACGTATTTCTTTTACGTGGACTAAAAAACTTTTTTTCTAATGGCTTGCCCCTTAACTCGGATATCGGTACTTCCGTGACACGAAACGCTTTGACCTGCTTGACCCCCATGGACTTTGCTGTACTTTAACGTATATTTCAACCGTAACAGCGATCCATTGCAAAATTATTTTCATTTGATTCTTATTACGCAATGTTTATATAACAATCGGTGCAGCGGTAAATCTGATTAAAAAAGAAAATGCAAAAATTAAAATATCGTCAATCATTTTAACTTTATTTTATAATATTTTTGATATCATTAATAATTATTTTATATGTAAGTAATAAATAAACTTTCCAAAAAAAATAAAGAAAATTTCTAACGAATCTAAGAAGGAGAATAGAAATTCGATATTCATTCGAATTCTGCTGATTCACGCTTACGTGATATACGAGCCGTTCGGTCGCTCGATTGCTTAAGTGGTTGAGGGACGAATCTGGTCAGCCGTCTTCCGCGGTTGAACACGCAAGCCACACCAAAGTATCGACTACTACTCGCCACGCCAAGAAACACGTTACAAGAAAGATGACCACTGTATAATGAATCGACTTCAATAAATCATTAAACAAATATAAAAATAAATTATGACTTAAAATATCGTGTATACCGTCATATATATATAACAAATTGCGATGATACATTTATTTTTTTTAAATTTCATAAAATAAATATTTCAGTTGCAAATTTTTACGTGAAGAAAAAAATCGATCAAATAATATTCAACGCTAATATTATCGTATCGTGCATTTTGCAATTTTTAAGCTTCATGCAGCTAATCATCCTAGTCACCAGTCCGATAAGTCCGGTGTTTCTTGCTCCACGAAATGTAAACTGTCGAGGGATTGATTAAAGAAAGATATCGAACATGGAAGAAAAATAGAACTCGTTTTTAATTTCTGTTCCTTAAAACTTCATCAGTAAAACGTTAAACGTTATCCTATTTCCTTATTTTTGATTCAAAAAAAAAAATATTTCATACTTTTCTGCTTTAATCAAATATTTCGCATCGGGGAATATTATTCCCCATCAGAGGAATTTAATTATCAAAGTTCCATTTGGTTGAACACCCGTTCGTTTAAAGAAAAATCCGATCCAATTTACATAATTTGAACATTTCCAGTTGAGATTGTTCAACATTTATTAAATGTCTAAATTATCGGGTATCAAACTGACGTATGCAAATGTATGACGCTTCTGCGCGAAATTTTTAAATACACGTTCTTTCTTAGAAATTGCAATCTTCTGCACGCAAAACCCTTATTATATAGATTCTTTCTCTCATGATTTTCCAAACTCTGTCGCAATATTCATTTTCATAAAAACCAAGTTGATCATAAATTCCTCTCTTCTTTATTCTAATTGTTTAATATATTTAAATTCTGAGTTATATATATATATATATATATATACATGTAAAATTCTGATTTCATTTTCATAAAACCAAGTTGATCATAAATTTCTTATCCTATTCATTTGATATACAACTTAAATTCTGAGTTATATATACACATGTAAAATTCTGNTTATATATATATATACATGTAAAATTCTGTTAAATTTTGATCACAATGCTGTTGATTTTTCCAATATATATGGATTTCATTTTCATTTGGACAACATTTTTATTATATAGATTCTTTCTCTCATGATTTCATTTTCATAAAAACCAAGTTGATCATAAATTCCTCTCTTCCTATTTGTTTGATATACAATTTAAATTCTGAATTATATATATATACATGTATAAAATTGTGTTAAATTTTGATCACAATGCTGTTGATTTTTCCAA